CCCCAAAACCCCAAAACCCCAAAACCCCAAAACCCCAAAACCCCAAAACCCCAGAAATCTTAAAGTAATTGAAATTATCTCTGGGATGTACTCACTTTTGAAAATATAGCCAATGATCCTTGTTAAAGGTTCCACAGGTCTATCTTTAGAGACTCAATAGGTCTGTAGGTCATCTAGTCTCAGAAGTGACACCCTGTTCGAACTAGGTCTTATAAATCCTAACTAAGGCATGCAAAAAGAGAGATTATAAGAGAAATTAATAAATTGTTCAGGTGGGTCATGGCAAGTGTTCCTGAAAGTCAAATTTGAAATATAATAATTCTCAAAATAGTAATTAGGATAGTTGATCCAGCTCTCAGGTTATTAAACCAGGTGGATCCAAGCTGGAGTCTCTGCTATTTCTAATCCTTCTAGAGATATCCAAATGGATCCCTGTTATTTTTAGATAGAAAAGTCTCTAATCTTAAATCACTGGCAATTTGATATCCAAAGTATTGGCTGTTGTTAAAATACTTGTATCTCTGCTCACTAAACGTTAGTCTCCCTGATTTAGGTTACATTTAGCTCAAAGTTAGGGTGCATTTTACTCCGTAGAATCCTCATGCAGCAATATAGACACCTAGCTGACTTATCTTCCTCGAGTAGGTTCTATATAGATCGACTCATTGATTTGGCTGCCTAGAATCCCCTTTTGGGAAACTCCAAGCTTGTTCAAATATATGAGTGAAGAAAAAGCCATATTATGAACTTATTTATGAACACTAAGGAAATTGACTGAAGCTTAAGGAATAAGAATTGAAAGACACTTTAATGTGTGAGGTTTATGAGAAGGAAAGCGAATGAAATGTAAGGGTGCTCAGAGAGGATAAATTCAGAATATTAAATATGAAATAAGAATCGTTATTTATTTAGCCCTCCTTTGACTTTTGAACTCATTTTCTTTTCAAAATCTTCTCTTCTTTTCATTTCTTCTTCATCCATTTCGTCATCTACTTCATCTGATTCTTGTAAATCTTCATCAGCTTCTTTTTGGAGTTTGGAACTGAGTAGATCCATGAAATTTTTCTCCCCAATAGCGCCACTTGAAGGAGGATTCATACTAAATAATGCATTATTTTTAATCTCCGGGGCATCTTCTTCCTCTTCATCATCTGCTAAGGTTTGGCAAGGAGTCTGGGCCTCTATTAATTTATTCTGGTCTTCGTCAGATAGGGAGGGTTCTTTAATGGTCTTCTCATTCCAACTTACAGGGTCTGTGTCCATATCAACGTCTACTCTTCCATCATTAGCTTGATGTTCAACTGCAGGATCAGGCTCCATTTTATTAAATTTATTATATTAGAACTTTGAATTAACTATTTTTGTACTTCTCTTGGGGTTTTGGGGTTTTGGGGTTTTGGGGTTTTGGGGTTTTGGGGTTTTGGGG